AGAACAGCGGCCACTGGCCCCCGACGTCCCACGCTGAGCAAGCCACTCACGAAGCTGCTGGGTCGTCTGGGGACGCTGCTGCTGCTGGGAGCTCTGGCCCGAGCCAGTGCCTCCACTCCGACCTCCGCCGCCACCACTACCACCGCTCCGACCGCCACCGCCACCACCGCCACCACCGCCACCGCCGCCACCGCCGCCGCCGCCACTACTGCCACTGCTTCCTCCGCCGCCCCCGCCTCCACCACCGACCCCACTCCCACCAGCGCTCCCGCCACCGCTCCCTCCAGCACCGCCTCCCCCCCCACCTCCCCCACCTCCTCCCCCCCCAGCGCCACCACCACCACCCTTGCCCCCCTTGCCCTTGCCGGTGCGGCGCCTCCCACCAGGAGCAGAAGCAGCGCCAACAGACTCAGCACCAAGGAAGTCAACAGCAGCAGCAGCAGCGTAGGAGGGAGCGAGGGGAGAGGGAGAACACCCCTCAAAGATGGGGGTGCGAGGAGCGCCACGAGCAGCACCGACAGCTACAATGCTCTTTTCGGCCGCGAGCAGCTGCTCCTCTAGGAGGGCGACTGTGAGCTCAGTGGGACAGCGAGCAAGGAAGTGGTCTCGAACTGAGCGGAGGGTGTCAGGGAGACGGGTGACTATGAAGTGGAGTGTCCAGTACAGTGGAGGGGGGTTCTTAGCGCAGAACTCGGTGGGAAGGGCGGCACGCAGGCGAGCATCACTAGTGCGAAGGTGGGTGATAAGATCGGCGACTGTAGTAAAGGTGGACAGATCGGGGAACAGGTACGGCAGCATGAGGCGGCTAAGCTCGGCTGTGGCAGGCGAGGAGTAGCGAGCGACGACAGCATCGTACAGGGCCTTAGCGGATTTGCAGTCGCCAAAATGCTCGAGCTCAGCTAGCGGGAGGTGACTGCGAATGGCTAGGCGAGCAGCTGCGTCACGAGTCTGCCAGTGGGAACGAACACTAAGCTCGGCTGTGGCAGCAGGAGCAGCGGCAGCACCAGACGCGTAGTCATAGAGGGAGATGTGGTCCGTGCTATTGCTCATAAGATACAACTGCAGGTCGTCGAGCCAGGAAGTGAACTGCACGGGACGGCCCTCAGCATCGAAGGAAAGAACGCGAATAGAGGCCATAGCTCAGGCGTGAGGGCACAGCAGAGCAGCGGCAGCAGCAGAGGGGACGCGCTAGAGCGAAGCTAGTAGCCACAGCAGGAGAAAGCGGCAGTGCACAGGCAGGGAGCAGCAGGTGAGAAGCGCGGCGGGCGAGCTGCGAAGCGGGCAGCGGTGTGGGCGGGCGACGCAGCAAGCGGGCAGTGAGGCAGCGGGCGGCGCTGCGAAGCAGGTAGCGGGCGAGCGGGCGGCGCTGCGAGCGGGCAGCGAAGCGGGCGGGCCGCGAAGCGGGCAGCTAGCGGGCGGGCGGGCTGCGAAGTGGGCGGGCTGCGAAGCGGGCAGCGGGGCGAGCGGGCTGCGAGGCGGGCGGGCCGCGAAGCGGGCAGCTAGCGGGCGGGCGGGCTGCGAAGTGGGCGGGCCGCGAAGCGGGCAGCGGGGCGAGCGGGCTGCGAGGCGGGCGGGCCGCGAAGCGGGCAGCGAGCGGGCGGGCGGGCTGCGAAGTGGGCGGGCCGCGAAGCGGGCAGCGAGCGAGCGGGCTGCGAAGCGGGCGGGCCGCGAAGCGGGCAGCGAGCGAGCGGGCTGCGAAGCGGGCGGGCCGCGAAGCGGGCAGCGAGCGGGCGGGCGGGCTGCGTAGCGAGCGGGCCGCGAAGCGGGCAGCGAGCGGGCGGGCGGGCTGCGAGCGGGCGGCTCGGCGAGGGGCGCGCGAGGGCGCTAGTGAGGGGCGCGCGAGGGCGCTAGCAAGGGGCGCGCGAGGGCGCTAACGAAGGGGCGCGCGAGGGCGCTAACGAGGGTGCGCGCGAGGGCGCTAACGAGGGGCGCGCGAGGGCGCTAACGAGGGCGCACGAGGGCGCTACGAGGCTAGGGCACGGGGTAGCGTGGTAACCGCATGCGAGCGGTGGTGGGCCCTTAAAAAAAAAACGGTCGGTAGGTCCTAGGGACCTCCTGCTCTGAATACCATCTCAGAATAACTAGGCAAGAATGGATGAACTAACAGAAGTTTGGGTACAAATATGAAACCCTAGTTGGGGTTGTACCCCATATTGGCTACCCCACTACAGCCTACAAGCATAATACAGTTTAACATGTTTCAGCGTTCATGCATATGTATTAACGTATTCTTGACATAAATGTGGGTGTCTCGAAAATAAATATCCTCAAGATTGGCAATAATTTGGCCAACTATGTGGTTGCCATTTTGACATATGTTTGCATGATATTCTGTAGCATAGTATATTTAAGCAACCAATTTGAACGAAAGTTACTGCTCCAGCTGCATACGACACTCCCGCAATATTCACGAGTCAATTTTCTGCGGGATTGGAACAGCGACGCGCAGGTGGTTGACAAGTGGGAAGTGCTGTCACTATGCGGCCGGTCTTCGATTTTCAGTGCGGCGGATGAACGTCTGGCTTCCAGAAACGACATGTGTGGGACTGCACAGAATTCAGCAGTGGTGACGTGTCACATTTTTTATTAGTCCAGAATCGTTGCAACTGTTCAGGTAGTCTTCGGTTAAGGAGAATGTTTGGGAAAGTGTGTGCTGTTTCCGTAGACGTGTGATATGACATTACTGTACTCGTATAAACAACGCTACTGGCAGATACAAGGAAAATTGGGGTTTGGTGATTTCAGCATGTGACAGGCGCGTCTCTTGTCGCGTGCAGCACAGTTGCTGCAACCTATGCTGTCGTGTAATGCTGATCGATTCTGGAACCTGGCGAAAGCTGCTGCTGAGCTGATGGGGTCCTTTGTCGCTTTTCAACGTTTTGCTGCTCAGCTCTGAAAACCTTTTAACCCCTAGTTTTACTGTACTTCACTCATATGTGCCTTGCACCTATGCCTTTCTCATGAACTTGTTTCTCCCCAATACAGTGAGCAAGAAAAAATTTAGTGAACGAGGAACAAAGCAAGAAACGACAAAAACGACAGTGGTGCAAGGCATTTCAGCATTCACCTTCTTGTATTCCCTCCTCTTCCTCTCATCTTGCACTTAGCTTGCATTTTTGTGCTCCATGGCTATTAGGGCATCAGTCTCCTGCTCCTATCATATCGCCCTTAGACGTTTTTTCCCTTGTTTCCAGATGCTGGTCTTCGTGCGCAACAACGACAGTGTGTGAGCAGATGAGAGGGTGTTTGCAAATGGTTCCGTGAAGTTCGCTGAGAGGTTCGCTGCTAAGTTGACTTGCTATGTGAAGCAATTTTTCGTATCAAGCATTCTATCCGTTCCTAATGTCCCTTCTGTTGCTCTGTCTTTCCGTCCTATGCGACGTGCCTGTCTAGCGCTTAGGCTTTTTATTTTCAGTTCATTTTTCCTGATTTGCGATTGGTCTGATTGTTGCTCTTTCCTGTTTTGCCTACTCTCACTCCGCTTTTCGTTTCTCCTCATTATTTCCCGGAAGTCACTCTCACGCTTGATTTCCCGACGTCCCCATTATTCCTATTTGTCTAATCATACAGCATCGTCACGGTTCTACCACAAATCGTTTTTTGAACTCCCTCGACTGCACCTCGTGCTGCGAATTGTCGCGAAAATGCATGCGGACAATGATCCGCCGCAGCTATGTGCTATCGTGCCGAGAGTGGCGGGGAGAGATGCGGCTATGCCGCCGTTAGTGGCGATGACGATAAGTTATCCTTGCCATTTTATGACCCGTTCATTCATGCCGTCCCCCTAGTAAAAATTCCTCGTTTATTGATGCTAGCGCTACTGCCATCGAGTGTGACTGCACCATCTCTGGTTTTCTCTCCCCTCCTCCAGACTACCCCCCAAGATTTTTTCCCCCCTGTGCTTGTGGTTTTCTCCCGCATCCTCCTCACCCCGGTTCTCTCCCAATGCAGTGTTTAGGGTAACTAAATGACACAAGGGCATTGAAGAGTAGTTCAGGTTCCTGTGGGAATCTGGCTGCTTTGGAGAGGCACCAGATAGCAATAGTTACATCGTGGTTTTGTTACGCTGATTATTTGTAAAATGTAATTATACATTTCTGTTGCATACGAGCAAATTTTGCTATTCAGAACTACCAACCACTTTAAAGTGGATTGCAAAAAGCAAATATTGGATGGTTGAATGTTATTAGTTTGCGCGTTAATAGCAACAATACGCATTTGTAATCACATTTCGTATATGAAGACGAAATTATTGTACATGTAACTGAATTTGTAGCCTTGTTTACCAGCATCCTATTCGCATGGAATATTGTCGCAACCAATCAAATTCCAAACGAGCGAACCAATCACGGTGCCAAATGTCAATCCAAAAAATGTGCGATGCCAATCGGATCCAGCCATGAGACGAACGCTGATTGGCTTGTTCAGTTCGAAGTTACGAGAGAGTAATTTTTCTGTTCTCGCTAAGTGGCTCAGATAAGCGGCTGAGATTGGGTGTTCAGTTCGAAGTTACGAGAGAGAATGATTTCTGATAACGCTCGATAAGCGGCTGAGATTGAGCTGGTACCTTTCCAAGAAAATTCTCAACAGCCCATCCCAACCAGTTACGGAGAGGTATGTGAGCCACAATCTTTGGGGTAGGTCTTGAAAATCTTACGGGAGAGCTACCGCAATGTAGCAATCCCGTAACTTAGGAAACCCGGACATTTTGGGATGCACTGAAGAGCCTGCCGGCAGTGGCGTGGGAGGAGGCCCCCTCGCGGCCGGGCTGCCTTGTGACTCTCGACTCGCGCTACAGCCCTGAGGGCGTGCACGCCGTGGAGGCGGCTGTAGCGCGGCTGCTGAGGGAGCTGGGGGTGGTGGCGGCGGGGGTGAGAGTGGGGGGAGGGGGGCGCGGGGGAGAAGGGGGAGGGGGAGAAGGGATAGGTGGAGAGGAGGTAGGTGGAGAGGTGGCAAGGTCTGGGGTGGGCGATGGGGGACAGGAGGGCCGGAGCGGGGAGATGGGGGGACGGGATGAGGGGGAGGTGGAGGGGGGTGAGGTGGGGAGGAGGGAGAGGGATGGGAAGAGGAGACGTTTGAAAGAAGGAGCGGGAGAGTGGGAGGGAAGGTGGAGTGGAGGATTGAGGGGGAGGCGGCTGAAGGGAGAAGAGGAGGGTACGGGGGAGGGGGAGGGGGGGCTGAACGGGGAGGTTAAGAAGGCCGATGGGGGAAAGGAGGAGGGCGAGGGTGAGGGGAAGGTGGAGGAGAAGGGCGAGGGGAAAGAAGAGGGGAAGGATGAGGATGAGGACTCGAAGGCGAAGGGGGAAGGGGGAGGGAAGAATGGGGAGGCGATGCCAGAGGAGTGGCGGCGGTTCTACGAGGCACTGCCCAAGGTGGTGGACGCGGATGGCAATGAGAACCGATGGAAGATGCCCATTTGGGTCTCCCTGGCCGTCAACATGTGCGTGTGTGCTGTGGTAGGCATGTGCGTGTGTGCTGTGGTAGGCATGTGCGTGTGTGCTGTGGTAGGCATGTGCTTGTGTGCTGTGGTAGGCATGTGCGTGTGTGCTGTTGTAGGCATGTGCGTGTGTGCATGTCTGTAATCGTGTCAACATGTGCGTCTGTGCTGCCGTGTCAGCATGTGCTGCGCTATAAGCATGTGCTGCGCTATAAGCATTTTCTGTGCGATAAGCATGTGCTGCGCTATCAGCATGTGCTGCGCTATAAGCATGTGTTGCGCTATCAGAATGTGTTGCGCTATCAGCATGTGTTGTGCTATCAGCATGTGCTGCGCTATCAGCATGTGTTGCACTATCAACATGTGCTGCGCTATCAGCATGTGCTGCGCTATAAGCATGTGCTGCGCTATAAGAATGTGTTGCAGTATCAACATGTGTTGCACTATCAGCATGCGTTGCACTATCAGCATTTGCTGCGCTATCAGCATGTGCTGCACTATCAGCATGTGCTGCGCTATCAGCATGTGCGTGCGCGTCATCAATCATTGTGCCTGTGTGTGATCGTGCCGACATGTATGCGTATGTGTGACAGTGACAGTGCATACATACATATGTGTGTGCATGTGCTATGACAGTAGCCCATGGTACCCTGAACAGATGTGTTGCTGCCGCCATGCACTGCTCATATAACCGAGAAAGTCCAACACAGTCAATGCAATCAATGCGTAAGTATCCTTCCTGCAGGAACTAGAGCTTAGCTCACACATTGGGCATGGCACGTGGCGAGACCCCACGTCTCTATACATTCATGGCATGGCGATCTCTGTGCGTGCTACACAGCAGTGGCATGTGCTCTGGTTCTCTTGTTGTCTGGTTGGTTGGCTGGTTGGCTGGTGGTGGAGAACCGATCATCGTGGTCGATCCTATCTGCCTCTCTCCCTGTCAGGTTGTATGCACGGCGCCACGGGTACCGATTGGTGGTGGAGAACGGATCAAAATAAACTCAGGACAGACACCCATCGTGGTTCAAGGTAAGATGCTTCGCACTCGAGATAAGGCATCACATTCGAGATAAGGCGTTGCACTCGAGATAAGGCATTACACTCGAGGTAAGGTGTTATAGTCAAGGTAAGGGGTTTACCACCCACGCAATGGAGCACAACACACCACACCACTCGCTCTCTGCCTTTCACCATCACCCACACATCAGCTTTACACTGTGTGCTGCAAACCGTCCCATCCGTACTCTGTGTGCTGCAAACCGTCCGTTCTCTCTGCATCTTGCGCTGCTGCTGCCTGTGTGGGGCACTGCCCGGTTCCAGTGTCAATGCTCCTCACACTCAACAGTGACCTCTCAACAGTGCCCTCTCAACAGTGACCTCTCAACAGTGCCCTCCCAACAGTGACCTCTCACCCATGAGCTGCCAGCAGTGAGTGTGCCTGCGGTGCAGGGGTGCACAGCATCGATGGATGCTTGGGCATCTAACCACCTCTAACCGCCTACCAAGAGTGTTTATCATTCACTGTACCCCTGCACCCCTCGGCACCCCTTGCACCCCCTGCATCCCCTGTATTGCTGGCAGGTGCCGTTGCTACAGGAGCAGCTGGCTTGTTGCTGCGAGTGGGCTTTCTTCCTCGACTCAGATGCCTACATGCGCATGCACCACCACACCCTCTCCATCCCCGCCTGGATCCAAGCCATCAAGCAGCCTGTGAGTCTCTCCTCGGCTGATCTTCAACTCTGCAAGTAACAGCCTATTCTCTGTTCTCGACTCACTAATTGTATCTCTCATGCTTCGTTACATTCATGCGATTGGAATCCTTTTCTTCTTGAATGGGGATTGATTCACTACAAAATGTGGTGCTTACCAACCAATGAAACACAGTCAGGGGCAGGTCTCTTTTGCAAGATTTGAACTTTGGTTGATGCTTCCCCTCCTCACCCGTCCCCACCCCTTCTCACAACTTCCTTATTCGAAAAGATGCCAACCAGCAAATCTTTGAGTGGTGCTAAGGGTGAAACAATATCCCCAAGAAGATCGTGAATCGCTCTGGCCATCAGCCCATGAAGAATCACTACACCCCTCAAGGCGAACGGGAGAGGAGCCCCTCATGATCCCGAGTAGCTTCAAGACAGGAAATGATTCGCTTGACAGCACACAAGTGCTGGTGGGTGATGATGCAACAGGAGCAGCATAGCGACACAGGGCATTGATTGGGTGGGCCAGATGTGGCCAAGTGGACGCCATTGTGTACGCAATGTCGGATGTGGCTTTTGAGAATTCTCAAAAGCGACAATGATGGATGTGGCCAGATTGTGTACGGCAGGGATCCAATAAGCTTGGGATACGGCTCACTGCATGGCTCTGGTGACCGAATGGGGGGTGTTGAGAGCTCGTCTTGAGCTTTCACAACATGTATCAGATGATACATTACTGTGCCTCCACCAACCCTGTGTATGCCTCTTGTGTGTCCCTCTTCGTCCTCCCCTTCCCCTTACTGGCCTTACTGCCCCTTCCTCTTGTGCCCCTCACCCCCCTCAGAGCTACTTCTCGTGGCTGCTGAGGGACAATCTCACCGACACTCTGGAGGGGCAGGTGTGGCTCCCACAGGACCCCGCCCTGCTGCTACAGCCGCCCACCGCGCTACAGCCGGAGGGGCCCGTGGCTCTGATTCCACGCAACGGCGACTCGCGGGAGGGGTTCTTTGGGGAAGCAGATGCGCTGTTCCGCAAGGACACGGACTACCTGAATGCGGGCGTCATGCTCTGCCGCCGGTCTCCTGCCAGCTTCGAGGTGAGGGAGATGTCTATGCCTATTCAGCTTCAAGGTGAGGATGTCTATGCCTATTCAGCTTAAAGGTGAGGAAGGTGTCTATGCCTGTTCAGCCTCTGTGTGAAGGAGGTGTGCGGAAATAACTTAATCAACGGGAGCTAGACTACGGGCTAGGCACAGGATGGGAGTGATCCCAGCGTTTGTCCCTTAGTCGTTTCCAAGTGCTCTAACTACTTGCTAGTTCACAGGGAAAATTGGCAAGAGTTTCAACTTGAAAACTTGACAACAATGGTTACAGCTACATTGACAACACAGACTACATCAGAGCTAGCACAACTGCTGGTCGACTACCAGCGCAGCACGGTCGACCACATTCTAGCACGACTTGGTCGACCGCACTCCAGCAATGCACGAAAGCTGCTCACCAACGTTGCAAGTCTGCAGTGCGCCAACGCTGCAGCAAGTCGGCTGTACAGCGTTGCACCCGCATAACAATGGTGCACCAGCTTCGCATGTGCGTGCATCTGGCTGGTGCTCTCCCCTCGTCGACCGCTTCAGGACTGGGCCGCCGACTTTGTCAAGTCGTCTGCCACCCAAGGTTGGCGCCCTGAAGTCGGCGCCTTGCCAGGTCAGCCTCGCCAGGTCGACCACCCCAGACTCGGCGCCCTCCGAAGTCGGCGCCCTTGCAGTGGCCCCCGTGCAGATCGGCCAGCCTCGTCAACCAGCGCCCACTTCTGCAGGTCGGGTGTTTCCCCCCCGCACACCCGACCACGAAGTCGGCTCCGCCCAAGCGAGGACAGGGCCAAACCCAACTCCCGTTGACAAGGTGTCTATGCCTGTTCAACTTCAAGGTGAGGGAGGTGTCTATGCCTGTTCAGCTTCAAGGTGAGGGAGCTGTCTATGCCTGTTCAGCTTCAAGGTAAAAGAGGTGTGTATGCCTGCTTAGAGTAAGGGTAGTGAGCAACAGAGTCTCTGCCTGTGCAGATGTCTCTGCCTGTGGAGAATTTGCTGAGCCAGACAGGTTGAAAAGTTAGTGAGCTAGGGATTGATTGGCGTTGGGAGTTCAGGTGAGCGGTTGACTTGGCATGTGTGGGATATAGGAGGGGCGTCAATACGCTGTGAGGGGAAGAGGTGGGCTAGTGGCAGAGGTTTTTTTTTCTGCTGGGCGAGAGGTGCCATGCATCACTGTGTGGAGGAGGTCTTCCAAAGGTCTTCCAAAGGCTTTCCAAAGGTCTTCCAAAGGCTTTCCAAAGTCCTTCCAAGTGTCCACTGCACCTTTCCCATTCCCTTCCTCTGCTTGCAGTTCTTCCAGCGGTGGTACAGCGTATGCAAGGGCAACTATCACCTGTTCAACCACGTGTGGGAGCAGGCCAACCTAAACGAGCCGGCACATCAGCTGTATCGCACGAATGATCGTTCCCTTGCTGCTGTGCTGTCCTCTTCCCCCCACGCTGCCCCGCGCAGTTCTTCCAGCGGTGGTACAACGTACCGAAAGACGATTACCACCTGTTCAACCACGTGTGGGAGCAGGAGAGGATGAACCAGGTGGCGCGCTGGCCGCACTGGCGGCGGCGGGTGCTCATCGTGCCGCACCAGGAGCTCACAGGGCCGCCAGGGGCCATGGTGCGTCACATGTGGGACAGGGTGGTGTATGAGGCGCTAGAGGAGGCACTGGGCAACCTGCAGTCAGGGCTGTGAGGGTAGTTGTGAGAGAGGGTGATGCTGGTGCCCCAACACGAGCTCACAGGGCCGCAGGTGGCCATGATGCTTCACTTGTGGGGGGGTGTGGCAAGCGAAGAGCGGGACCGGGTGGTGTATGCAGCACTGGAGGAGGCCCTGGGCCGCCTGCAGTCAGGGCAATGAGGGCAGTGGGTAGTGGAGGGAGAGGGTGATGGTGGTGCCCCATCGAGCTCACAGCGCCTGATGGGGCCATGGTGCTTCTCCTGTGGGGGGGTGTGGCAAGCGAGGAGCGGGACAGGGTGGTCACGGCTCGTGCGTTCTGCGTGCAGCCGCATGCGTGTGTGGGTGATCTGCCACAGGGCGCATGCCATGCCACACACAGCGTGGTGGTGGAGGTGGAGGAGATGCCGGGTTGGGTTGGTGCCGTTGCAGCCTCCCTTCCGGCATACGGCGCCTTTGAGCCAAAGAGAGCGTTGAGATGTTGGGAAGTTTCAATAGAGAGCGTTGTGAGAAGTGGTACTGTACCATGTGGCATTGGAAGGAAGGTCATGGCGTCACACTGTAATCTTGTCTGTGCATCATGTATGGGGAGTGGTGGCAGGATCTGATCCGTGGCCTGCTTGCAGGAGCGTTACTGTTTCTGCTGCATTGCATGGCTGCTATTCTTTAGCGGGTGCGAGTAAGCACCACTACGCTACTTTGTATACAAGTGCAACACCAACTTACCTGTATTTGTAGGTAAAACTTGCACTACATGTAGTATTTATTAGGGTGCTGGTGTGAAGTTCTCTCATGTACCTAGTTTCGTATTTTCATAACGAGTACTGGTACCGTACCATATGTTGGAACTGTACGTGTCAGGAGGGAGTCCTTACAGCAACCAGACATTGAGGGAATCATGGTGTTTTACCCTTAACATTCAAAGCATGCAATTTCTATGAGGCGGCAAATGCAACTGAGTCTGGCAGCCGAAACGACACACACAGCATGTCCTGTGGGGCAGGGGAGAGGAGCGCAGAGGAGGAAAGGAGTCAGGTAAGTCTTCGTTGTCACTTGGATGCAAGTGCGGTGCGTCTCGGCTCAGCTGCCATAAGAACAGTAACAAAACAGGCAAGCGACATTGCAACAGCTGCCTAGAGCCACATTCACCTGCACACCGAATCCCTCTCGCACAGCGACTGACGAGACAGCACCACACACCCCCAGAACACTGCCACGTGGCGTTGCCTTATTGGGCGCCACACACAGCGTGGTGGTTGAGGTGCTGGAGGTGGAGTCGCTGGGTTGGCATACCGTACCTTCGAGTCGACTCACAAGTCAACTGGTTGATGTGCCGGAGGAGATGCTGGGTAGTTTTGATAGAGAGCGTCGCTTTGAAAGAAGAGCGTTGTGAGAAGTGATACCGTATGTGGGGCATTGAAAGGAAGGTGCTGGTTTTGCCACACTGGTCTTGTCTGCGGGTCATGTGTGGAGTGTGGTGGCAGGATCTAATCCGTCAGTGGCCACATGCTTGCAGAAGCTTTACACGTTTACTGTATTACATGCCTGAATAGTTGAGCGGGTGTATCGCTACGCTGCCTTGTATATAAGCGATACGCCATTTTTCAGTGCAAGTTCGTCGGTAAAATATGCGGCTACAGTACATGTAGCATAATGTGGTACTGGTGTGAAGTTTTAAACCGAAATGTAAAATAATGAACCCTATCCCATCTTGAAGGGGTCCTGCCGATAACGGGCCGATAGAGCATTGTTCCAAAAAAAAAAACGAGTAGCATTGTGAACAAATGTGATTGGCTGTTGCCAATCTTGATTCTTCATGTTCCCGCCAATTTTTTTTCATGCGGATGTCCTCCGTCGCATGTTTTCGTGCCACAACTGCACGACTCTTGCCCAGCGATGGTTTCGATCGCAGTGTCAGAATGAAAGTGTTGTGTCATTGATGTGGGTTGGGGTACATATAGCAAACCCTAACATCTGTACCCCCTAAGACAAACCTCACTACAGGCTACAACATTTGACACACCCCCATAGCCTAAGTGAGGGGTGTCAAGCAAAACCAAAAGTGTACGGTCACAAGACCAGTCACAAAGAAACAAAGCTCTTAGTGGATCACAACGTCACCACACACTCTGAGCACAAGTAACAGGGGCAACAAGGCCAGTCCAACAGTTCACAAAGGTGTATGGCAAGCGTACAAGCAAAGAAAACAGTAACCCCAAGCCTACACATGACTAGAACATGTGTCAACAAGGCCTAACTGCACACAACACCTCTGGTGGTCACAAGACGGAAGCGCCTTGGAGAAGATGTCTGCAGTGTTGGCCTCGGACTCCACAAACTCGAAGCGACTCTGTCCACGTCTCTGCAACTCTCGCAGAAGGAAGTACCTGACGTTAATGTGCTTCACTCTGCTCTCCAGTCGCGGCTCTCGACAGAGGAGAATCGACGCCTTGTTGTCAGTGAACAAGGTCAGTGCAGAGCTCGGCCGCTCACCAAGGTCGGCGAGCAAGAACGTCAACCAACGCAGCTCCTGTGCCGCCATGGCACCAGCGTAGATCTCAGCCTCAGCTGTAGAGGTCGAGACCAAAGAGGAGCGCGTGGACCTCCACGAAACAGCTCCAGAACCCAGACTGAAACAGTACCCCTGAGTAGACCTGTGAGTCTCAGCGTCGTCAGCGTAAGAAGAGTCACAGTGACCAGTAAGTACGACAGACTGCTGCCCTCCAAGAACTAGCCCCACGCCTGATGTCGTCGCTAGGTACTTCGCCACCCTCACAGCTGCCGTCCAGTGAACAGGACGGCGTCTACCTGGCGCAACAAAGCTGTTGGATGCACGTCATTCTGAGTGCATGCCATCTTAACGTCCTGCCGAGTGCTCATGCTATTTGTGCTTGCATGATTTGCATGAGCATATGTCATTGTGCATGGCTGTTGGATATTATCATCTCTGTGTTTTCTCCAAGTCTAAATGCTTGATCATGCAGGAGAAATCCAGAGCTTTCCAACGATACCAAGATCGCCTTATTCCGACCAAGATCGCCCAAGTTACAAGATTTCCAAGACTTGGATTTCTTATTACCTTTTGGGGTTATATCTAATTTGGGCGATTATTGGGACATGACTATAAAGGGATCTTTGGTTGGGTGGTTAGGAAGGCAACTTTGACTTTTGGATTGGGGTGGCTGGACGTTTCTAGCATGGGTTGCAAATGTTGCAACACCTAGGCAAAATCCAACTAGATTGGATTTTGCATGTGACACCTCAAGGACCTCATGATGAGGGTTGCATCCTTGCTACTAGGAAGGTTCCTACCATCCTTCCCTAGCTCTTGGAGAACCCCTTCCCTCTCATGGTTCTCTTGGAGTCCCCAAATTCAACATTCTAATGCTTGTACTTCCTCCATCAATCTAGTCATACGAATGCTGGACGATTTCGAATGGTTCTTACTCTCTAGGTCATCTTTCTAAGTGATTCAAATTGGAGATGGTAGCTAAGCCTAAGGCGCAACATCCTACCGAGCGGATTTGCGTTTAGTTGAGTAATGAGTTCGTCGTAAGCTCTCGAAGTGACAGATCGTGAACAACAAGCGGTATCAGAGCGGGTAGTCGACTTTGAGACGACGAATCGTCGTGAATTCTCAACCAATGTTGACGAGTGAGACCATTTTCTAGTAGCACTGCTCGCGAAAGTTTGATTGGTGGTCGAACCGCGTTCTAATTATAAGTATCCAGTCCGCGACGGCGTTTTTCGTAAAGTCAAAATTTCTAGCAGAATTCTCTCCAAACGATTTTTCAAGTTTCCACCGTTCATAAGGCCTCAATATGACTGGAACGGACTCCAGAGGTGCTAATGGCGAGATGGCTGGAGCTAGAGAGGCTGGAGAGCAGGGGGGAGTTGCTGGTGGTGGAGTGGGGACTCACCAACCAGCCAACCCTACGCTACCCTCGACCTCTACGACATCTCCAACAACCGTGGATCCCGTGAAGGCGTTCTCTATCGAGAAATTCATGGGGGAGGACTACGAGCACTGGAGCTTCCGCATGAGGCTGATGTACACCCAATACAAGCTATTGGAGCAAGTGGAGGGGAACGAGAAGATGCCGGATGCCGCGGAGCTGAAAGGAGCGTGGATGAAGCGATCGTTCGACGCGTACATGCTCATGGTGCAAGCGGTTGGAGGACGACAACTTGACCACATCAAGGACCTCTTGGGTGATCCAGAGTGTGGCCCCAAGGCTTGGAGGAAGCTTCTGGATGTGCACTCACCGACACACGCTATTGGCATCGTGCTACTCGCGCGGCGGCTGCGCGACATCAAGTTCGTTGATGGAGAGCCGATGCAACCGGTGTTGGACGAGATGCGCGACATCTTCACGAAGCTCCAAGGCGGCGGTGTGGTGTACCCGGAGCTCGTGCAATGCGTGGAGATCGTGATACGGCTGCCGGAGTCGTGGTCTGCCCTTGCAATCAACCTCAACTCCCAGCAACCCCAATGGAGCGTGGATTACATCCGGGCGCGCATTCTTGAGGAGGACTTGCGGCGCCGGAGTGTGGAGCGCTCGGAGGAGGGGGCTGGCTATGGAGTTGGAGGTGGAAAGAGTGGCTTCAAGAAGAAGTGGAAGGGCAAGAACAAAGACAACCCTAAGGAGGATGGCGGCGGGGGTCAAGGGGAGGTGTGCTTCTACTGCAAGAAGCGCGGACATCGTTGGCGGAAGTGCTACCAACGACCCAAGGATTGGACCCCGCCTTCATCAAGCAACCAGCATGGTGGCAAGAGGAGTGGGGGAGTCATGGGAGCTAGTGGAGAGGAGAAGGATGAGGAGAAAGGCGGCAAATCTGAGGAGCGGAAGGCCGGGTTCTTCTTCTTCGTGAACGAAGGTGCAACCGACCTCGCTATGGCTGCCAAGGTTCTCCTACACCCTCTCACCCATTGGGTGCTTGATTCCAGGAGCTCTTGGGACATGAATCCTCGTGCGGACCTACTCGATGAGATTCAGCCCGCACCCATCTCTACAGTC